TGTTACTTGATGCAAATTATGTCTCCGGACTTCTTATTGTGTGTAAGTTCTCTTTTAGCCATGAGAGAAAAATAGGTCTAGGCTTTTCTTCTCCTCTTGCAATTGCATATGTTCAGTGATATTAATTTTCTTATAGAAAACAACAAGAAGCTGTTAAATAAGAGCAAGAACACAAAAAGTAAGCAAGATATCAAATCTGAAGAGTTCATTTTCTTTTATATCAATGACGCGATAGAAATTTCATTGGTTTAAATAGAATCCACATTTTTTTTAATTGTGTTTGAAAGTTGTCTTATTCTTTTGCTACCAAATTAACCGAACAGCAAGTGCCACACTACATGAAATATGGTCATCATTTTATTTGACGGCTTGATTTTATGTTTTTTATGCTCCTACTAAGGTAGTGATGTAGAGAGAATAAGGTTAATTAGGGTAATTCCTTATCCACTTTTATTCACTGTTAATACAGAGCCTCTCATGAATTATTCATAATTTCATTCTATTAAAGATCCTTGATCTGATTCTTGGTGAATTCTCTCCTTAAATACCTTAGGCTACACTAGTTAGTAAGACACCGTATGATTAAACTTTTTTTTTAGGCTATAATGCTTTTGTTGATTTTGATGGTTTACAAGGAAAGGCCTAAATCATTATTAAAGAGGCTACGGCTGCTGCAGTTGTAGTTGTAGTTGATTTATCTAGGGCCAATATTGCTCGGCAATAAAAGATTTATTGAGAAGAGCCCCATGATTGGCCAGGCCACACTCTTCACATACGTTATGATTCTGTGGATGTCCATAGACATTCTTACATGTGCACGTAGATAAACTAATTAATTCATATCTGTTACTATTAGTGTTTGATTCTATATAAATGTATCCATTTTGGTTGTAGGTTTGAGCCTGATATGCTAGCCTTTTCTGGATGTTACTATGGTGGAGGTGAAAAGGAAAGGCATGAACTGGGTGAAATAAGGAAGCGATGGGCAACACTACCTGTGAGCAGTATTCTATCTGTTTTTGAGTTCTAAATACATTTGAATATTAACTATTGATCTTAAAAAATTTCTTTATTATTGCTTTTTCTTGAACTCTGTGTATTTGGACATGTATGATTGATCTGCAATAAGCAAGTGGTTGTATAAAAAATTTCGGTATTGCTTTACAGGATGTAAGTGAAGAGGAAGAAAGGAAGAGAGGGAAATGCCCACTTACTCCGTATGAAGTGGGTCTGATGCTACGTGCACTTGGTTTTAGAAATGATAGTTATATTTATGTTGCATCTGGTGAAATCTATGGTGGAGAAGAAACTCTGAAGCCTCTTAGGGAACTTTTCCCAAATTTCTATACCAAGGAGATGCTTGCTGATGCAGAGCTGAAACCCTTTCTTCCATTCTCTTCTCGTCTTGCTGCCATCGACTACATTGTATGCAATGAGAGCAACGTATTTGTCACTAACAATAATGGGAACATGGCCAAGATTCTTGCTGGTGAAAGGTACCAAGCTTATTTCTTTTCTATATCTGCTGCATCATTATCAAGAATGAGATTATTGGTTAGTTTTTAAAAAGCGGTCTGTTTTGATCTTCTGATACCCCCTTTTGTGCTCTGCATGTGGGTAAACTTTTACTTCGTAACTCTCCTCCCTGACATCATCTTATCAGAAGTTCTATATATTCCTTGGGTTGCTGTTAAGTGAGAGGATTCATATGCAAACCATGGACGACTGAATTGGATCCACCATCCAAGAATATAATTCAGCCTACTGAAACTGAATATTTGTGCATCTATTCTTGGACCGTAAAAGACTGTCTTGTTCGAGAGATTGTTTTCTAAATAGTTTCTTTTTTTTGTACGAATCATAGTAGGGCAGCTCGAAAATAGATTTTTTATATACTTAAATTCCTTATATTTTTCGCTATATAGGATTATTTTCCCAGGACTTCTCCTGAAATCTCTTACCAGGAACTGTTTAGTATAGAAATCAATGTTTTAAATGGCTAGAGGTGCCTCACAGGCTTTTTCTCTTAAAGAGTGAAACATAAAGTGTTCAGGTAATCTACAAAAATTTATAAAAAACTATAACAATATTGATTGTATAAAGTACAAAGAAGATGAAACTCACTTCTATTAATTGTCTTCTTAATTAAAGATTTCAAATTCATTCTTAATCTTGTTTATCACATGGTGTATTACCGTTGAATGTTTAAGTTAATTTTTATATCTTTGAAGAATTGCCAACAAATTGATATATAATTCTTCCCACTATTACAGGAGGCGTAAGAACTTTGTAAGCCTTGAGACTGCCTTGAAAACCTTTTAATACATCAATTGGAAGTTTTAAAGTTCCTTTGTGTATTCTTCATCTTGCCTTCCTAACACTGAACTTTGATTTGTGTATTTTAGGAGGTATTCAGGTCATAGAAGGACCATTAGGCCAAATGCGAAAAGACTCAGTGCTCTGTTCATGGAAAGGAACAAGATGGATTGGAATACATTCGCCAGAAAGGTAAAATCTTGCCAACGAGGGTTCATGGGTGAGCCTGATGACTTGAAACGTGGTAAAGAATTTCATGAATTTCCAGACTCCTGTATTTGTGAGAAACCCGTCGCTGAAAAAGTAAACGAAGATGATGAAGGTAATCACCTCGAGTTTCCATTGATAAATAGGCAAGGAGTAGTGGAAAAGAGAAACTTGATGGAGTTCATTTAGTCTCCACGGCATTAGAGAGAATTTTTGTCCCCTTTATGGAGAGGAAGAAAATGCATAGACGATAAGATGAGAAGAGTATCTCTATGAGGCAATTTTCATGAAGTCTGCCCTATCGTTTTCGCGCCCACGGTTAGGAAGTTCGATCAAGACTATCTTCATCCATGGTACAGGAAGTTCGATCAATTGTTCATAACTTAGTCTTGTCTCTAATGTCAAAGAGTATATAGATCTGTAGTTGTCCAAAACCTGCTGCTGCTGCTCTAGTCTTTTTATGCGCAAGCTAACATACCCCCGCCCCCTCCTGATTTATCTTATTAGTTTGTGGAACTATGATATATGAACTGAACCTATTTGGCACTACAACTGGAAACAGTTTGACTCGACAGCATGCTCGATACGCAGCCGAATTGTGGCCAGCGTTACTGACTTCATATGATTGAACCTGTCAGACATTTGTGAGCCTAAGGTAATATTGTTATTTTTTGTCATTGTTTTTCATCTATTGCAATTTCAGAGAACTTTTGTTTGCAAGCAAACATAATGGATCATTTTAGTTTGCTCTGCAAGTTTTCCAGTGAAAGTTACAGTAGATGATGTTCTAATTAAGTCGGATTTGTTTTATGTTTCAGAATTGTGATTGATTCACAGTTTTATTGAGATTAATTGGTACGATGTTTTCATCGAAAATTTCTAGTCAGCAGGTTATTTGGAGAAAGATAAGCTTAGGATTTTTAATTGTAGGATGATAGTAAAGCTGATCAATTAGATTTGACACTAGATGATGCCTATCAATCCCAGCCGCCATCGCCATTGGGTACTCTATCAACTATAAGATTCAGTCATGATTTTGCTAGGATGTCATAACATAATTGAGTTGGTTGACTTTTGAAACTTTGGTAGCATTGTAGATGTAACAATTTAGCATTTATCTCATTGAAATGCATTTAATCTAAAGCTAAATTCATTAGTAAAGGATGTCGGGTTAAGTGCGGAACTATCGGATCTCACTTGGTCGATATAAATTCATCTCACTAGAATGCGTCGATTTTTGCAACATTTTTTTTTCCTCTAAAAGATGATTTATTACCTTTAGGAGTTTTGTGAAGTTTTCTATTGTTTAATTATAAAACTTCAATTCTATTCTATTGTCATTCTATGATGAATGATTTAAATATAAATGAGAGGAAAACGATGATTAATACCTATTAATGTAGAAGATTTAAAATTAAAAAAAAAAAATTAGAAATTGATATATTCGAAGGTTGAGCATATACTCGGGTATAAATGGAACAAAGAACTCTCGTTAAACATTGCTTTCATGACTCTTAATTCCAGCCAGTTACCCAAGAACAAATATTCAATTTTCTAAAATAAATGTGGTAAATTTTGCCTGTTTATTTATTTATTAAGATAATTCTAGATTATTTGAATTTGAAAGCAAATAAAAAGTAATAAACAAAAGGAAAACCAACATTGAGAGGGATCGATTCTCTAAGGTGCTCCAGCTTACTTGCAATCGCCCCTCATTCACTCCATTAGTCCCACTTCGCTATATAAATCTACTCTACCTTGATTTTTTCTAAATTTTATTACGTTCGGTTCAATTTGGAAGTCACTTTCATCACGTTTTTTTTGTTTGAGCGATCCAAACATGCCCTTAAGAAATACACCAAAGTTTAAAAATTCTTCTCAGGAGGTGAATTACATTTAATGCCTCCTTGTGAATCATTTGAATTTGGAGTCCCTTCTTAATATATATATTAGAATCATTTTGTTCTGAATTGTTTTTTGGTACGCCCTTGTATTATTTAAGGACCAAACGCTCCTTTTCTCAGGTTTCAGAACAGCCACATTCAAATGCCATTACCAACGCTACCAAGAACTCAGTGATACCCGCAGTCCCAGCACTATTTTATGAACCCAAACCAACATTTACATTTTCAATACATCTGGACTGGGGAAGAAAATACATAATATAAGCAAAAACAAAAAAGAAAAGAAAAGATTCATACTGATCTATGGAAAACTTTACTGGTAAGGTGGCCATAATGTAACAATGCAACATTACTCTTTCTTCTATATATTGTTCAGTGAACAAATTTTGGGCAGTACCTGAACCCTCTGACCACCACCTTCTAGTGTACTGGAAAAACAGTAACAATTTAAAAGCACCAAGTCTGTATTTAACTCCGCACGGGAACGAAGCGGAGTAGATGCTTTGATTCTGAAATAACACAAGACTAATGTGATATTATTATAGATCAAGGGGGTGGTGGAAGAGGACATGAATGAATAGCCAAACTACCTTTTGAATTCCAAGACCAACCTACAAGGAGAGTTTCAATATACATCCTGTTATGGTAGAGGGGCTTTGAGAGAGCACAAATGTGAGGTAACTTCAATAAATATGAACAACTAAAGCTAAACTTGTAGGAGTATAACATAACTAAGGAAGCAACAGTTTCCTTTCCTACATTTATCTATATATTAAATACAACAATATAAAACTACTGTTAAAGTCACATTAATTATCGGCAGAGGACATTTCCTGGGCCTAGAACCAAGTTCGCTAGAGACCCCCCTTAGATTTTATTCCCTGCCACAATCAAGAAATACATTTTCATCATGATGTAACGTAAATTTGAGGCAAAATTCTGAAGTGAATCTGGCACATCAGTTCTTACCTCTAGATGCATTCCTGCTCTGGCTTCTTTGACCTTTATCGTGTGAAATAAAAGGAATTTTTGAAATTGTCAATGAGCTTTGCAGTCCCTCTAATAACTGCAAGCACCGAGATTCAGAATGCACACGCACGTTACAAAACATATACGAGGGTACACCGTACGTAAAATACAAAATGAATAAATGAAACAAGTGAAAAAAATAAAACAGAGAGAGAGAGAGAGAGAGAGAGAGAGACTCCTTTCAACGTTAGGCTCAAGGGAAAACAGAATGCACAGGCATGCCAAACTTATTGATTAAGGTTCTTGTATCAAAGACTTACTCTTGAGGTCGGCTGAATTCGGCGGTTGGATCTACGTGGCTCAATAACATTAGAATTTGGTTTGTTAGAATTCCCAATGAAAACCTTCTCTTCCTCAATTTTTGCCAATTTCCCAGCTGCAGGAGCAAGTTTTCCTTTATTTGCTCGTTCAGGCTTCGAGTGAAATGAGGATGCTTTCTTGGGAGCATGTGCTGGAGGAAATAAGACCGAGCTCTCTGGTGCTTCTTCAATGCTACAAAAAGAAGGAACATCCATTTGGTCGTTCTTCCCTGAAGCACCCTCATTCTGGCTTCCAGGATCCTTGGTGATAACTGCTTCCTCTGTTGCCGAAGGATAAACATCAGCAGAAACATTTGCCAAAAGGGCTTTATTCTGTGAATTAGTCTTACCTGACGAAGTTGGCTGCTTTCCGGACTTGACACCCATGGGCTTGGCGTCATTTGCATGTTTTTCCTTCGTTTCATATTTTGAAGTTCTTTTTGATCCTTTGGAGGTGGATCCTTGCGGCATCAAATTCTTGGCCAACTTAGTGGAATCATTTGCTTCAGTAGTTCGAGCACCCGCATCATAATGTTTGCTCACTTCCATAAATTTTCTCTTTTTTCCAGGCCTGGGAACACCAATAACCACTCTTGATGTCCCCTTCTGCATACCAGTCCGACCAGTTTTTAATGGATTAGACTTGTTCTCAGTTTGAGTATGTCTACCAACATTAAATACTTTTTCATTTGCTGCTAGCAAAGGCAAACTTGAGTCCGCTGGCTTCACTGATTCTACATCCTCCACAATCGTAGGCATTTTATCCTTCCTTTTAACCTCTGCAGCTGGACTGCCCAACTTCATGCGCTTTTCCTGAGGCATAACAGTCTGAATGCAATTGCAACTCAGCATATTTCGACAGATTAAAAATTTAGAATCAGGGTCAAACAATCATAAGTAAGGTAAGAACCTCATGAGAATAGTCATTTACATATGAGCCGGATAACTCAAGCCATTCCCCATCTTTCCATATGAGAGTAGGCCGGAGATTCCAAACTTTGATAGTGGACGTTTCACCTCGAGCTGCAAGAACCAAATGATGGTTAATTTACAAGAAAAGAGAGAGAGAGAGAGAGAGAGAGAGAGAGAGAGCACAATCTTCATAGAAAAAGGTCAATTAAACTCTGAATTATAGTGACATACCTGGAAAGCAGACAGTATATGTTGTTTCATCTTTTGCGTCCTTCTCAGCAACCACTCCTTCATGCCAGCTGGAAAAATATAAACAAACAGCAGATTACAGATTGAACATGGGTATAAATGGTACCCACGCATAAAATCTATATCTTTTAACAGTGTAGCTGTTGAAACTACCCAAAGCAGCTAGCCCTTATAACAGCGTAATTTTGTAATTACTTGGTCTCTAACCTATTTAGAGACGCAAGCCTCATTTGTATTAGTCGTGACAATATAACAAAAAATTACTTGCATGATGGCTCAAACTCTGCTAAAAGAGGTAAGTACTGAAATCTCGTAGTTCTTTACTCTCTCTATGAATGTGATGGAATCTTTTTCATAATTACTTGCTTTCAAGCTTTTGGAGTTTATCCAGAAAGTATTGTGCAGTCATCATTAAAGATACTGTTCTTTGAAATGACATCTGCACTATCTTAAGGAAACTTGGCTCCAAGAATGAGGGGTTTTCCAAAGATAGATAGGTAAGTCGGGGATCTGTATGATTCTCAGTGACTTTGGACAGGAGTGTATCCACCCCCTTCTCACCGTATACTATGTTGCTTAATTAAAATTATTTGCAATAAAGAAATGAGGAAGCACAGAGACAAAACAACACCTATTCTGCATCCAAGCATCAACTTTGTCTCCAACTGACCAGATGTAGTCCCCTGCAACTGCTCGGCGTCTCTTCCTCGTTCCTTCACTCGGCAAGCTAGTCATAGGACGAGAAATTCGTATCCTTGGTGCGATACCCCCTTGACCATCAAGAGCAACCCACTCCTTTAGTTGACCTGACCCTGCAAAAATCAAGAAAGTGAACAGTCAGCAAAGAGAAGTCAAGAACTGTACATGTTTCTAAACCTCAATATACTCACAGTTTCTTAAGAGCCCAATATACTCTCATGAACTTGACAAAATAATTTATGGACAAGAAAATGATAAAATAGTTTAACTACATCTTCTCTTGCATGCAAGAATCAAATAATGTGCCTTGGTCAATCTCAAATTACAAAAGCATAAGATCGTCAGCTTACATTTTATGCTTCGCTAGTCATTACCTTGTTCAGGTTGAAGTTCAGTGTAGGACACATAAGCTTTCCCTTCCTTCACACTCAGCACATTGGCTGTGAACCAAGAAGCTTTTAATCCATTTCCATCCTTAAAAACCTAATTCATAACCAATCCAGTTAGTACAAAATCAAGATTCAGAAAACATCAATAAATGATTAGTAAATACAGGTGCATACTTCTTAGCATTTAAATTCCACATTGGAACTCCTACTCATAGCTTCAGCAACTCAAAAGAAGAAGAAAGAATAAATATCAACAATGGTGAGACTTAAAAAAGTTAAATATAACAATCTCATACCTCGACATGGGAACCTTCCTTGATGCTACTTTGTCTTAAATCCTTGGGCTTTTCACACTCGTTCTGGGAGGATCTTTCTCCAACCTCAGATTCTGGAACAACACCAATGGTTTTTGTCAGGCCAGAAGCATTTTGGTCCTTTTCCCCTCTCAGATCATTTTCATGAGGTGGTACAGAACTTGTGATACCTTCGACCAATCTGGGATGATTCTCAACAGAACCCATAGATATGTCTCTAGGAATAAGTGAAGTGACATTGACACTTGCCTGAATTTCATTCTTACCTGACAGTCCCTTTCTAGGATGCTTAATTGCTGAATTGGAATATCCTCCATTAACATCATCAGATCTCATAACCAGCTCAGATGAAACTTGAGGGACTTTCCAATAACCCTCTGGACCAGCTTCTGCTAACTTGCCCAAGGGAAGAGGATCGCTCATGGCAACTAACTTTCCAGCTTGTGACACCGCAGCTGCTGCCAGCTCGGCAGCTTTGACAATGGCATCCACATTTTCAGCATGCTTAGAAGCGGCTGATGCAGCTTCAACCCTCTTTCTAGCTGCCTCCCTAGCAGCAACAATAATAGAACTGGAACTATTTCCTCCATCTTCACCCCTCAAGATGGACGCTGGAGTGGCCTTCCCTACACCAACAGCACTGCCATGAATAGGAACTTCATTGCTTTGACAAGAAACTTCATGGCTAGATGAAGTCAACGCCTGATCAGCCATCAATTTTGCTTGACGTGCAGCATTTAATGCCACATTGGCAGCAGCAGCTGCAGCCTTTGCGACGGAAGCAGCTGCTGCTATTGCAACAGCTGCAGAAGCTAGTTTAGCTTCAACATCTGATACTAATTCTGAATTTTTCTGTCTGTCCAATTGACTCCACAATTCTGCACTGTGTTTAACAGCTTCAGATGCAAACAGTGCAGCATCCTCAGCCACTTGCTTAGCCTCCGCAACCTTGCCAAATGTTTCCTCCGAAAACATAGTTTTCCCTCTCAAATCTTGACCAGCGTTCTTTGGGTGAGTAGGTGGACACAATGAAGATGCAGATAAAATCAAATTCTCAGAAGGTGCCTTAAGGTAGACAGATGGAGATGTTGCAAGAGTAGAAATTGTAGTTGTAACCACAGCTGAAACTGGTTTTAAATGTGGTTGAACCTGCATAGTTATAAGGCCCGGATCCTCAGAAACTGTAATCTTCTTTCTTTTTCTCGTTTTTGATCCAGTCAAATTTTGCCCGGTGGTTACTGACACCTTTTTTAACTCAAGCAGGGGGGAGGCCCCAGTTAATGCATTACAAGTAGTTCCACCGTGAACCATTGAACCAGAGGGCTTCACGGCAGAGGATTGTGGCATAGATGATTCCTTCAGTGGTGTTAAGAGAACTGGCTCAGTATTTGGCAAACCAGAAAACTGTGCACCAGAGTCAGGTGTCGATGTCTGAGTAGCAACCCAGGTACTATGGAATGGGGTCTGAGAAAACCATGACAGATTATGACCAATGAAGTTCCTGACAGGAGGAGTCTGATACGGATGCAATGGAGAAAGTGCTTGCTGATAGTCTATGACTGGACTTCGAGGCATAATACTAGGTTGCAAAGTACTTGAAGGTGTGGAAATATTCCAGAGTGGTGAGGAAAGAGGGATAATAGGATTTAACACTGTTGAAGTATTCTTACTGCTAACTCGACTGACTGGAGGAGATACAGCTTTACTTTGTAGTGTACTTTGTTTATTTACTTTCTCAGTACTCCTACCTACAGAACAAAATTTTAAATTCAGAGAGACAAATAAGCCTAGAAATGTATAAAATGCCTCACAAAGTACCGGATTGTGATTGCAAAGGTGTCTCTGGGTTAATAGGCTGAGTTTTTTTTCCATGAAGCCTGTCTACACACATACGCCAGGCATTCTCCCAAAGGTTTGTTCTACCATCTGAATTTAAGAATCACATAAATAAAGAAAAAGCGACATCCATATGGTGAACCAAATCAATGATAGGGGAAAGTTTTACCATGTCCTCCAAATGCAGCCAGCATGTATGCCTCATCTGGTGCTGTACCTTGACTGCAGCAACGATTAAATCCATAAAAATTACATAGTAGAAAGAAGTTCAATTAAACGAACTGTATGAGAAATTTTCTGTGCTTTATTTAAAAGGATGAAGTGCCTTTTTTTCTGTCTGCCTCTTTTTTTAATAGGATAAGACTTCAATCTCTTAGAACGTTTGTCAACAGTAACGAATGGTGAACAATTACAATGGTTTTCAGTTCTGACACGAACTTCTCTAAAACATATACAGGAAACTGAGAGTGTTATAATTTTATTGGGTTGTTTTAAGTAAGAAAAATAAATTAAGTACTCACATCAAAGCTCCATAAACAAAAATCTGAGCGCGCAATTGAACTTGCTGCAAGTCTGTGAAAGGCTGTAGAAACATTGGAGATGGGGAAGCAGAATTCTTCAAAGAATTGTTCAAGTCTGGAATGCTGGAAGCTGAAGCACCAATAAAGACAAATGGTTTAGCACCACTGGACTCCACATGCCCATGATGTTGTATCTCATTAGACTGTGCAAGCTGGAAAATTCCAGGATTGCGCATGGGCGTACTTTTAGATATCTCTAGTTTCTCTGATTTCTTCATGTGACTGCCCTTTGTAGATGACTCTTTCCCTGATCCTTTGGCAGAAGCACGCCTATTTTTACGCTCAGAAGTGCCCTTGGAACGACCACGTGAAACTTTTACCTCAGACAACTGAGGGCTCCCATGCGAAATTTCCTGAGCATTCTTGACGTCCAATTTGGATAGGCCAGAAGATGATTGAGGTCCCGCCACAACCTTCGATAAAAATAATCCACAATGTGAAAACAGAAATGTGAACAGAAAAAAATGTATATATTATCCTGTGAACAGGAAGTTGTTATGAAGGGGGAAAAGATCTAATGGCATCCATGACATGAAGGAAAAGAATCACCAAAGAAGCATTGGCTGCTGGTGCTACTGCAATGTCAGAATAATTTTTTGGCAGATCTACCGATGAACTGGACACAAAGGTAAGAACTGTCTCACTTTCGGAGGCACAGTTTCCCTTGAGCAACTGGGAACCAGACGATGCATCGCCAACCACCGTACCATTGGCCTCTGGAGCTTCAACATTCTTACTTAATGGCCCATTATTTGAATCCTTTTCATCTGGATCACAAGAAGCCACAGTAGTTTTGACAACATCAGGTAAATTAGGATGTTTATCAGTATCAGTAGAATTATCACTCTCCATCACAGTCGTCTGTTCATGAGGTTGAGGAAAAGTAGCTGAACATAATGAACCTTCCTTTATGCCAGCAGCATCTGCAACCGAGTAGTGAGAGAAAATTCAAGTTTTAAGAAATTTGGAAATTATATACAAGAGAAAATTCACATGCATTTATCTAGAAGTAACGTAATTTGGTTACTCACTGTCGGTGTTCGCTGCAATAGCTTTCTGACAATTTTTTCCCACAGATTCCGAAAAAACTTTAGTATTTACCTGATCTTCCTGATAAGTATTAAATGTTTCTCCTGGCAATGGAGTTAAAGATGAGTAGTCAACAAGCAAAAAAATTCTAAGAAATCATTTAAAATGTCATGGTTTGAAGGATTCTAATGAGAAGAAAAATCAGAAAACAACTGGCAATATAACACATTTTCATTTTTTTTTTTCAATCGCATTAGGAATCAGCAGTGTTCTACAAGAGAATTGAAACCATCGGTGTGCAGGCAAGAGCATCATTGGAATGTAATTATCAATCAGACCCTTTCTCGAAGGTCCCAAAGCAACTCTATGACGATGGGATCAGGTCAGACCATGTAAATCAAGGGGGATTGACAAATGATACATGGAGCCAGTAAAGTCGATAACACATGTTGGCAGCTCCAAAGTGCAATGCGCACACAATGGGGGATGGAGGGTGACCAATCCTTGCTGAATTAAGCCCTTGTATCCTTTACAATGTTGGGCCTTGTATAGAGGAACCTCAAGAGAGATGGAAATCAGGAACTTGCGAACACACCATCAATGAAAGGTAACTGAGGCCACCCAACAAGGGAACGAAGCGCAAGAGATACACATAGTCGTGATGGGGTGTCGGTGTTTCAGCCGTCCACAAACTCATGCACACCACCTAGACGCCAGATGCCGTGAGGAGCAAGACCAGCACACAACAAACATGTGTCGTGGGACAAGCAACATGCACAATAAGTGCATGCAACATGTCACGATCATGCTTATCCAAGGCATGTTGCCTGTGGCCGTGTATCGGATTCTCCGGTCATGCTTGTCCAAGACGTTTTGTCCATGGCCGCATGCCCGCTCCGAACTCCCTTAACTTTCTTTCATGTGTAGTTAGGTCTTTAATATTCATGTCGTGTCAATACGAGGGTGTATGACCGTTCACCAAAATCGTGTCTACACTAGCCAAAATGTACTATAGAAGAATATGACTAGTTGTCAATTCTTTCAACCTAAGTTATATACAATCAAAGTTGTGGTTATTGCTTATTTTCTTTTAACCTATAATATGGCTTTCTTTTAACTTGTTTTTTAACGCATTTCCTTACTCATGTTTTCTAAAACATTTCTCTCAAACATGACCCAAGACTTGTGTCAAGATTGTCCACACAATCCAACCTTCACACAGCTGACTTATTTGCTAGGTTAGAACAAGTGTTGCACAGTCGCTCTCCCGCTGCCACAAGAGTGCAATTGTGACACAACACACAAGGCACTAAGGCACTATGCAAAGGCACATGATAACATTTTGTGTACATGTCTCTCTTATCTTTGATTTTTTATATTGTGGCAAATGGTATCCAAAATTCAGATTCTGGGTACCATCTACAAAGAAAAACAAGATAGGGAAAACTAGCCAAAATAAAGCTGTAGAATGCAGTACAGCACCATAGGAATCTTAACACACAGGGAAATCTGCTAAACACTAGGAAAAGTGATAGTCCTTAAAGAAAACTAAACCTAACTCAACTAGGACACTTATTAACTATTACTTATTAGACTGAAGTTAATCAATATTAGATTTTCAAGAAATTACTTCTACTTAAAGAAATCTAGAAAGACTTTGCTAGAAAAAAAGTAAGAATATTAAATTCACTTCAGTTAGTAATAAAGAAAACTAATAATTTAATTTCACAGACACTTAAAACCTTTAAACTAACTCGCAAATTCAAAGAGACGCACCTGACTTTTTAACACCACTATCACATGCTTTTGCAGTTGTCTTAAAAAATGCTGGATCAATGTCCATTTCCTGTCCGCAGTCCTGGATAAGATTATTGGCAACGTCTACTTGAGGAATAGGTTGGCTCTCTGTATTGCAGCCATCTGTATTCAAATTCTTTGAAATAGATTGATCGACACTTTCACCTAATCCCTGGCCAGCAGTAACACAAGCAGATTTGTCAGCTTGAGAAAGAAGATGAAACTCCGCCACAGGTTGAGAAGTATCCAACAGAGGAAAACTTCCTTCAGCAGGAAGTATCACAACACTTTCTTCTTTTCTATCTGGTTGAGTAAACTCCACTACGTTACGTTGCAATAGATACTCTTTGTCATCAGCATCTTTTCTGTCTGTCAAAGCTTCAACTAAAGGTAAGGAGTCGCCCTGTAATATGCCACATGATCTAACATTGGCATCCTCTAAGACAGAAACTGGTATAGCACATACTGCCTCAGATGTGTGGTCAGAGGTAGAAACTGACACTGCAACTATAGGAGGAAGGAGAAAAAAAAAGTAAATGGCTCAAATATGCTGGCATATATAACTTTTTTTTTTTTTTTAATAAGAAACAGTTTCATTCATGTATGAAATTTACAAAAGATGGGAAAAAAACCTCTCTAAATGAGTTACAATAACGTTCTCCAGTTTGAACAAAAGTGAAGTATAGCTATCTGACATCAAACATGCACAAAAATTACGTATGAAGATCACATACCTGATTCCTCACCAGCATTAACACTGGACTCTAATTTTGTATCTATCGTCTCACTTTCGACACCACTCTGTTGAAAAGACGGGGATACAATTCTCTTATTTGTGACAGGAGACTCAGTAGTCTTGTCATTCACACTAATAGAATCAGAAGATAATCGCCTTTCTTCCATGTCATTGACAGAAGCATGTTCAGCATGGATATCAACCGGCTGGCACGGTTTATTTTCCTCGCATAAGTGTGTTGATTCAGCCCCCGTGGTAGGAAAGTTGTCTGAGGGAAGAGTGCACTCACAAACATCTCTAGAACTAACAATACCTTGTGTTTCCTTTGAAAAATTATCAGGAATATCTCTGATATGACCACTGATGCTTTTGTCGACCTTAGAGGAATTACTTTCCTCTATGGCAGATGCAGAAGACTCAGACTTACTATTCTGTACCTCAATGTCCAAGGGAAAACATTGCTGCTCTTCAATAAGTATTTCCTGTGTATTAGCCATCTGCCCAACTGAATGAACTTTAGGCCCTTGAAAGGCACGAACTTCAGCATCAATGTTTTCCCCCTCACCTGCAGAAGCCTCGGTTCTAGCATCGCCTTCAACAACTGTAGGTAATACCTCGTGCATGTTTTCTTTGGACGGATTCCGGATCTCCAAATTGTTACACAAGACCTTATCATCAAAATTGTTAGTCTCAGCAGGAACTCCAGATGTAAACTCTCCACTACCTGAATGGAACTCACAAACTCCCTTCAAGGTCATACTTGCATGGGACTGAAAATTTGCGGTGGTAGAATCCACAATCAATCTTTCTACTGCAACTGTAGGTGATAAAAGAGGGTGGTCTTCTTTACTAAAATCATGTGAATCTTGTTCAATATTTTCAATATGTGTATTAACAGGATTCTTGCATAAATCTTTTATTTGCTGTTCAATATTCTGATTGCTCAACTTTCCACTGCCTGCTTGCGTGAAAGTAACCAAATTATTTATATGCTTTCCTGAAGCGGTAAAGTCATCTTGCCCTTTATCTTCCAATGATATGGCAGCAAAAGTACCAGGCGTACTTGGACATGTTAGCTTACTGTTTTCTTCAATAACTGGACTTCCCTCACTTGCTGGAATGCCATCAAGTTCATGGGAAACACTGGGATCATCCTCGTCCAAACTTCCATCAACAGTTTGAATCTCTTGAAATTCAGTGGGGTCGTCCATTTGAGGCTGTTGTTGCTCCCCTCTTATGTCCTCATTAACATGCAATTCCTCAAGACTTATATCTGGTAGTAGCGTAGGCTGTACATCGCCTACTTCAGAAAAACTACTACCGTCATCTTTTAAAGTAGGGTCCATTGGGTTTGTTAGGTAGTCCAATTTCTCACAAGCATTTGACTTCCCAGTAACCGTTGGTGCGAGATTGATATCTTCCTGCCCAACAGATTTCAATAACATTTCAACAGATTCAGAGGAAGTGGCCTCCGACCAAACATTTTTCCGTCTCAATATAGAACAAGATTCTGCTGCACAAGAACTAATCCCTATCCCACTACTTCCACGAGAATAATCTTCAATCCACTGATTATCTTCGTTATTCTCAATACCCAAGAACACCTCAGCTTCAACCAGGCTATCAAATCTTACATGCCCCTGAAGGGGGTCATCAAAATCAAACTTTGGGAGAGCATATTGCCGAAGAACAGGAGGAAATTTGGCACTTCCTTCACCAGCTAAATGAAGATTCTGGCTTTGAAAGTCATTGTCATCATAATCCATGGGTTTATCTCTGCTTTAGAAATGATTGGGAAAAACAATGGTTAGAAAAGGTAGCTATGATACGGATATTTATATCCACATTTAGAATAAATTCGTCATAAGAAATAAGGAACTTTCAAAATCCTTATACAGCTCTTACAAACCTTCAAAGCAAGTAAAATACAGGGATCATGCAACTTATATCATATTAGAAGTCGTTCATCTTGTGTTTGGACTTGTTTAACCATCACAGAAATGAAATATCTATTTTTATATATATAAGAAACTGAACAAACATTCAAAACACCAAGGCACCCAAAAAACAGCCTGAAGGACAAAGGGAGACAAGGCTTCCCTTCCCAAAAGAAGGACCTACCTAAAGCACTCCACTCAGTTCATAGTGTAAAAAGAAAAATTACAGGAAGAATGGTGTTAGGCACTCGAACTGTAAGCCGTGAACTGCACACGATCACAAAAAGGATCAAAAGAGATCGACTTATCTGTAAAAACTCTAGCATTACTTTCTTTCCAAGTCAGCCAAAGGATTGCCTTTGAGACACTTGCCCAAAGCACCTTAGCTTTATCTTTCAGCCAACAACTGGACAGAGCTTCAACCAATATCCCCTAGCGTATTTGGTTTACACCCCTGAAGACCAAAAAAACCTACCCAAAAGAATCCCACACCTTTTTCCCAAACTTGCAACGAAGAGATGAAGTTTTATTGTAACTATGATTCATCTGACAAAGTTTTATTCTAACCATGATTCATTCCTAATCAGTTTAACCGAACTCGATTTTCCTCTTCACAGGTAATTCTTTTTTCTTCAACTTCAACTCCCCATCGGTCTTTTCTTTCTAAACTCAGAATCCTCCAGGTATAGATATTCATCCTTTAAGGCTGAGTTTTACCCAAGTAACATTATCATCCTTTCCATGAAATTTTCCTTCCTTCGTTCCTTCCTAATTTTTCCCCCTCCACCACCATTTTTAATTAAATTTCCTTTCATGATTCGTACAAAAGATTTCTACTCATGATGCCAAGACCAGAAGCATTAACACCCAAATTTTTCCATTCCAGCACCAAATTTTCCACCTTTCACCAGCATTTTTAATCAAACTTCCTTTCACGATTTGTACAAAAGATGTCTTCTCTAACCCCTTAAATCAGAAACAATTCTACCCAAATGCTGCCGTTCCAACACTTCCTACTCGTCCAATTTCCTCTTGAAATCTCCCAACAGCTCCCAAAACGCACTCCACCCACCCTTGTTAACCTTGCTATAACCGTAGTACATCTTTGACACCTTCATTAGATGAGAAGTGATTTCCATAAATCATCTAAATTGATTTGATATTCTTTCCATACAAACATAAATTTCTTTCTTAAATATTTACCAATCTAAGAATAATGAAGAAAGATCCATTCATATTTGTTCCAACCGTATAATGTGACCCATTACACTCTAATATGAAACAGAGCTCTGTTTTTTCTGCTCAGCAAACTTCATCAAGAAACCTGGCGAGACATTGACTACCCAAATGAAGAAAGATCTGTTTTCACCCTTGCAACTATTATAATCATTGAAAACTCACAAGATCGAATTTCCTTTGCACCAAGAGAAAAGGTAGAAAAGAGAGACAACAAATAGAACACACCTAATGAAGGAAGACTTGTTTTCCACATAGCAACTACTGTAATCCATAAAAACTCGCAAGAGTAAATTTAATCGACACCAAGAAAGATGAAAGAGATGAGAGATGGTGAGAGAGAGACTGAGAGAATAGAATAGATCAAGCATATCTGATCACCAACGTTTATTATAAAAAAAACTATACAAATTCTTTTCTTTTTTTTTTTATTTTTATCAATAACCAAACTTTGATTGAGAAAACAAAAGGACACAAGGACATACAGGAAGAGAGCCCACGAGAAAGGAAGCAAACTGCCTCCAATCCTGTAAAATAAAACCTAATGTAAAATTACAAAAAGGCTTCACCGCAGAAGCTTGCAAGAAATATAGAACCTAACAAAAGACAACCTCACTCAAAAATCTCTCCAACTCTCTAACAATTATATTGTTCCTCTCACTCCAAACCTCACCAATTCTAGACTAGTAAGAAAAATCACGCCACCAAAGAATATGATCGAGATCCTCAACTGCCCTCCTACAAAGGATACAGCACAATGAGCCATCAAGTCGGGCACTCTCTTCAACACCATAAGGTGCTAATTTGTCCATGGAGGACCTTTCAAATAAAAAACTTAAACCTTCCTTGCGATTTTCACCTTTCACAACAAGGGAAAGATGGAATCACCTAGGGCAGAAGGACTAACCAGACAAGGAAAAATGGATTTATACAAAAGCCCTTCAAAGGAATAGGATTCCAATTACAAGTATCCCTTCTACAAGAAATACAATAAAACTTCCAACTTCCAACTTCCAAAGCAAAGAAAGAAGGTCGACGAACAATTCACACAGAAACCGCAATAAAGGCGAAGGAAGAAGACATGGGCTGAGAAAAATCAGCAACCACTGAATGATTTTTTTAAACTTCTAATAATTTCATAATTTTACAAACTCATGAAATTGCTAGAAGTTCGAAAAATTCAGCACACCTTCATCATAAAGTTTATTTTTACAATAATTGACAATTATGTAAAAATAGCTTGGATATCATCTATTAAACTACATAGATTGACGAGTTGAATGATTACTGTTAAAATAAGAGGAATTAGAATAAAAAATACTTTTAAAACATTTTTTATACATTGAAATTTGAAGGAACACTGTAAGTTGGGAGAGGATAAGAAAAGGATATATTAACCACATTACTTTGAAGCACGCGGATTTCTTTTTTCTTTTTTCTTTTTCTTTTTTTCTGTTTGCATGGTATTTTAAACCTCATGACCAATCATGTCCATGAAATTATGAACCAACTGCAAGTTGATTTTTTTAAAATGAGAAGTCAAATGAACAAAATCTTGCTTCCTCTTATATTCGAAAACATATAAGACATATGTAGAAGAAAATGACTTTTTTCTTTCTTTATAATCGAAAACATATGCATGAATCAAAAACCAAAGAAGCCTTAATAACCAACAAAAGAGAGAGGTAGAAGAAAATGACAAACACATAGGATTTAGGCTTAGGTATGGTCAATAACTTTTCGACATAGCTCACCACCAAGCCTCTTCAAAACATAATTTGTCATGCATTTAACCGGTGCAAGCTGATTTATGCTGGCTTTGGTGGTTCTTTTGCAGTAACATATACAACTTGTTTAAAGTGGACTATGCAGCGTGCAAAACTAGCATGCACAGAAGGAAAAAGGATAAAAGTACTGCTGCGGATTAAAATATGACAAGCGCGAGAAGCCCATGAGACTTGTGGACATCGTCGTTTAAATATATCCATGTTCTATATGCAGGCAACAACACGTCAATTTCAAATATCAATTCATGATGAAATGAGATTGTAAGTCCTTTCAATTAAATCTTGCCCCTCCTTGCATACCATTGAGTACCATTGTGTTATTTGTCAATACAAAGGATGCTAAAAATAGGAGTTCGCCAAAGCAGAACGTATATAGATATAAAGTTTTTTATTCGACTTGTTCTTCAGATATATAAAATTCCACTGATGTACAGTAGCTGTGTTGATTTACCTTTCTCGTTGGTTGGAATATCGTTCAAGTAGACTAGCACAAATTTTCCATACAAAAAGGCTGTACATTTTTCTATTTCTTATTCTGTTCAGAGAGGTTTCTACCTTTCCTTGATCCATGAGACCTTGTAAGATGTAGGAAGACTATGCGTCGACATTTCCAATAATTATTTACACAGCTCAATTCTCCAGCAATAGAATCTACAAAAACTAGTAGGTACCCATTCTAGAAAGTAGTTCATCAACGCAACACATGGGATGCGGTTACCCTACTAAGTACACATACTATTGGCCATATACTCGAGAACAGTTTCTGAATGGAATAATTAGTATGAGAAACTCTCCTAAATCCCCATACTCACATAGCTGCGAGACATGAATCCAACATTCCACGACATTGGCATTTGGCATGTATCAAAAACCACACCAAAGTGCTAAAAATTAATGAAAACTGATCTCGGGACAACTTTAAAGAAAATCCTCAATAACTTTATTCATAAATCCAGCCTTACAGCTCATCGTTTCAAAGCAGACTAAGAGGCACACTCGCTCTAAATAATCACAACAAAAAAAACACATATAATAAACAAGCCCAAAAGAATTTTTTGAAAAAAAAGGAAATGAACAGTACCAGAAGAAGTAAGTCTAGAGACGCTACCTCCCTCCATCCGGTGATGAAAACCAACCCGTTTGATCTCAGCTATTCACTTGTCTTACAATCATCTACTGCTTCAAATAAAAACCCTACGCTTGAGTCGGTCTCGACCAGCAGCAACCTAGTATAAGCAGCCGCAGCACTAACTCAAACGAAAATAGAAGAAGAAAACCCAAACGGCATTCAGCGAGAAATCCAATAGGCTGATAAGAGAACAGACAAAGAGCTTTGGGTTCTCCGATTATGGAAATTAGGGTTCCGGCAAATCGACGGTGAGATATGATGTCAGAAGAGTGATATGAAGACGAACAACAACAGAAAGGGAGAGAGAGAGAGAGAGAGATAAAGAGAAGCAAGAGAGCATTCGTACCCTTTTTTTCTTTATTTATTTATTTTTGGTGGTAAAATTGTAATTATAAATTTGTGTTTCAGTACAATAGCTGCAATCGAGCTTGGCTTTCTTTTCGTTGAAGTAAAATAATAATAATTAAAATTAATAGTGTGCACCAACGAGAACACGACACGTGGTATCATGAGGAATATACATTTTCGAGCCAAGTACAGTTGTCTTGAAATTTGTTTAAAAAAATAACTAACTTTTTAGTTCTAAATTCTAATTCAATTCTTGAGAAAAGTAAATAAAATATTTTTTTTATTTTATTTGAGATGTTATATTTGTAGAATAATATTTTAAAAAATGCAATAATATACTAAATTTCTATGTAAAGTCATGTATGTTTTGAAAAAAAATATTTGAAAAAATAAAAAAGATTTAAGCTACTGACTATCACTTACTAATATAAGATATATGAAAATACACGTAAATTTAAATCTTTAAAGACATCTGTGCATTTAAAAGAATCCTAGTAAAACATCAATAAAAAATGTGAAACAACTATCTAGTCTGACGTCTATAATCTTATAGTTCATGCACACATTTGCCTCGATCATTTTGTCTAACCTTCATTTGAAATATGAATTGAAGTGTCATCGACGAGTATAAAAATACTTAGTAAGTAGTTTACCTGTAGTTCTTAATTATTTGTTAAGTCTTATGTCATTGGTTCATTCGTTCGTTCGATGTCTTAAACATATTTAGGGTCATGGAGTGGAAACCGTGAGTTCTCTTTCTTTAGTTGTAATTGATTGGTTGGGTCTTATGATTCATTCTTACGGCTATAAGGGTTCTTGTTTCGGCGTTCTAGTATTCCCCCTCTCGTTGTTATTATCATATTTGTGAACCTTGTCATCATTATCATAAGCCTACTGTCATAGGCACTTGAGGTATTACCCGGATGTTCCTATTCCAACTTATAGTTCTTATCATACCATTATGTTTAAAAGGATTCAATTGGTATCCATCTAGTAGACCCCACAACATAAGCGGTATAAAAGAGGTTGTGACCCTCGATCAAATCAACATCATCTATCTATGTGGTCTTTCGCTCTTGTCCAAACAAAACCACGATTAAAGAATGGTCGAAAACCCCCTTTTAATAGTCCCTATAAAGTACACATAAAATATAGTTCGTTATATTATGTTATCCGAACCCTTGACGACCATGTCGAGTTCGGAACTAAGGGTTAGTTAGTGAACTCCTAATCGCTCATGTATAACAACACCAAACATCATATACAGGAATATTTTATCCCAAGTGTGAGAATACACTTACCGAAACATGGATACCTAGTCATGCTTTCGGTTTTATTCAGCTTTGGAGTTCGTTTCATTAACTTCATGAAAATTGATCACTCATTCGAACATATTACAAGCATAACTTAATTTGAAGTTTCAAGGTACTATTGACGCTTCTGAAAACGACTCGAAAATTGGACTTCGACAAACTTAAAAAATTATAAAAAGAGGGAGGAGATCAATGAGTTAATATATTGACTATATTGATAATCTTCTTCCATTCACGTGCGTCGACGTCACTCTTTATTATTAATCTTCTTCTGCATTTATACATCTACCCTCGAGTTCTTAATCAATCATAACCGTTGTAAACAAAGACAATTTGAATATAATTGGTTAGAGTTTTCATATCATTTGATATAAAAGGAATTTAACGGTGAGAAATATGTCTTTTTACAACTTGGTTTTATTTTCATATCAACCCTATATCCGTGGATTCATCTCCAATTTGACCAATCGATGCGAACCTACTCCACTGAATCGAGATACTTTCTCGTTTTTGGTCTAAAGCCCAATAATTGCTTAACGAATGTATCTCAGGCTAAACGTCTTCAAGATTAATTTAGAAACGAGATAATTTTGAGTAAGATCAAGTATGTTAGTACGCTTTTGAAAGTCTTAACAAGTACTTACTTAATTCTCGTATATTAGGTGTCTTCATAGCAGGAAAGCCACTAATACTGTAAATTAAATTGTCGTGCAAGAAAATTAGTCCAGAGCATTGCTAGTACAAAAGAAAGAAATAAAAAGGAAAGGAATGATTCCTTTGTGACCTAAGTACGATTCTAAATGGAATCGTGATTTAGCCAAATCATTTCTCACTTTAAATGATGTAAGCAAGAACCCCGATTAATATAGAATTTTAAAAATCCATTTGACACCGATTGTGGATTGTTTGCCACTTCTTCATAGTGTACTTCATGTTCTGTACACAACCCTCCACAAATAGTATGATACTGTCTATTTGATCTCATGACTTTGCTTTGGGCTTCTAAAAAAGTAGGGATGTACATGACCTGGGTTGGGTTGGGGATTTTTTTGACCCAACCCAAAAAATCCCCAACCCAACCCAAAAGTCCAGGTTGTTAAATGGGTAACCCAAAATTTCACAACCCAAACCAACCCAACCCTCTATTTTCGGGTTGGGTTGTCGGATTATTAAAAAAATTTATTTATCTACCATTTATAATTATTCGGATACAATCTTTTGATAAAAGATAATTAAAAGTTCACAAATCAATCTATAATTATTCAAAAAAAAAAAAAAAATCAATCAAGAACAAAAATGGTAACATATTAACATAATTCAACATCATTATAAAACTAAAAATAATTAAAATATCAACATTCGTTACGTTAAGAATGAGAAATAGGAAGAGAATTGGAATAGAAGATAATTTTCATTGATATTCATATCATTTAAATAGGATCCAAGCTAACGACTAATACCTATAAATAAAGAAAATATAAATTAATTAAATATTGAAATAGAAAGAGAATTAAAATCGGAGGTCTATTTTCATTGATATTCATAATACGATACCATCATCAAGCGACTAATTACTACCAATAAAAAAATATAAACAAATTAAATATTAAAAATAAAATAAAATAAAAGGAAAGAATATTAAGATATAAAAATTCCATATATAAAAAAAAGTTTTTGATTAAAATTTAAATTTATAAAAAATCCATATATCTTACCCGAGATAATTAAGGTGGACCTCATAAATTCAAATAAAAAACACAGAAATAATTCCAAGCTTTTAACTATTTTCCGCGGCAGTTAAAAAAACGCGGCGTAAAAACTCGGCGGCTTTATAGGAAGAAGAAAAAAACCCGAAATTGATAAGTAAATGGGGGCCCTTCGTTCTCGTAGTCTCAATCTCTTCAAGCTCTCTCAAAATTCGATGCCTTTTTCTCTTTCCAATTCCCAAATTTCCAAACCCTAACGCTACTCCCAAACCCTCCTTTTCTTTTCTGGCGCCAATTTTCCCCTTGGACTTCACTGATTTCTCTTCCTGTCTGTGATTTCATCGCCGCGCTGTTCAACAATCCGATTGATCTTTGCTAATTTTCATCTCCCGCCACTGGGTTTCCTGGATTTCGATTGCTGCTTGACGACTGGTGTTGATTTGAGGATCTGATCTCTCGCCGCTGCTGTTCTTCTGTTGGGTAGATTTGAGAAGATTAGATTTCTGATTCTGTGAGTTTTTTTTAATGATCGGGCTGAAGACTCTTGGTGCTTGCTTGCTTTGATGGGAGCTTAAGGGTTTTGTTTATCTCCCTTTTGAGTTTATTGTATCTCGACGGCCTCTTCGATAAAGAGGATCACTACTTCTGCGACGGCGATCTACAGAACTCCATTGAATTTGAGAGGAGGTTCTTATTGTCCTCGGGGTTTCGACCGAATCCATTGAGACATATTGTACTTTTGTTGGACGAGAATAACGGGAATTTTCAGCGAACGAAGTTCGTAGAAGCCCTCTTTTCGGCAGTTCGATTTGTTCCATCCCGGTTTTGTTGAAGGGAAAAGTGTTTGATAGTTTGTATTATTTCATTTCTTCGAGCTAAATATAGGGCCCCTTTTTCTGAAGGCCTTCGAATTTTTTCTTTTCCCATTTCCATATATTCCTTGCTTGTTCATCTGGCTTTTACATATTATTTTTGAAAAAAAAAGTACTATGGCGGTGTATTATAAATTTAAGAGTGCAAGAGATTATGATTCAATTGCTTTGGACGGTCCTTTCATCTCAGTTGGTATTTTGAAAGAAAAAATTTTCGAATCGAAGCACTTGGGAAGGGGCACTGATTTTGACCTTGTGGTCACCAACGCCCAGACTAATGAAGGTGGGTTTTTGTTCTAATTGAATTTAGCTAATTTTCATAGAAACATTTGAAACGATTATGGGTAGCGGGCTTTAGATGAGTTTTACATGCGATCACTAGTTATCTCCTCTAAATTTTTGGAAGATATATCTTGGTTTCCATAGTCTTAACATTTCTGGTTTGAGGTCACTAACTTGCATAAATGCGGAAGTGAATTTGACTTTTATAAAACAAAGAACTGTTGAATTTGGCTGGGATTTAGTCTAATTTTAATTGTCAGTTTAACACTTATCGATAGTACCAGATTGCTTGCATGAATCTGGAAGATCAATAATGGGGCTTTTATGACCATCGATGGATAATCACATATTCTAAGTCTGGTTTTTGGATTGATATCTTATTAGTGTTTTATAGATTCTATTATCTCCTTTCAAATTTTCAGAATATCTCGATGAAGCAATGTTGATCCCAAAGAATACATCAGTTTTAATTCGTCGTGTTCCTGGAAGACCTCGGTTACCCATTGTTACGAAACAAGAGTACGATCTTAACCTTTAATCAAATGGTTTTTGTATGAGTTGGTGTTATGTGTGTTTGATTTTTTCTGAATTAGCTCCTATCATCTCTGCTTAAATTGACATCCTATCTTTCTAAGATAGATAAGATGTTCATTGTGTTACAGGAGTTAGTGGCACTGAGTCGGTGCCTTCCATGTATCTTGTAAACTGAAGCCTAAAAACAAACGAAACTGCTGAGCATGGAAATGCAAATGCCCAGTCAGTTTCTTTTGGAGAAAACTTTTGAAGATTTGACACAATCAGCCGGTTTCTGATTTTGCAGGCCAAA